TTTGTACAGCAGAACATACAAAGCCAATGTGAGTTAGGCTTCGAGCATCTTTTGTATGCCATGGGACTTAGGCGTGTATACATTTTACGGTACCACTTTTTACAATCATCTCACTGCATACCTTCCTCAACGGGGAACAAGCAGTATGGTTGTCCACATTTATGAGTCTTACCAACCACTTTAATTTTGATTAAAAAGGTTTAAAACACAAAATGATCACAATGTGAACACTAGTGTTAGTCAAGGAGTAAAAAAAGGTACCACAGGACAAACTCGAGCAAAAAATTTCAAACTTTAACTAAATTACTTTTAGTTAAAGTAGACCAAGAATGCTTTATGGTGCAACAAGTACCCAAAGCAAGGATAATCACAACAAAAAATCAAGTGGTTCAAATGGTTGTGGACGGAATAGAAGAAGCTTTCGCTTAACAGCCTTCCGTGTCTAGTAGCAAGGGATCACCAAATCCTCCAGGCAGGAACCTAGGTATATTAACAATAAAAAAGGAAAAGAAATTGGTAAATCATAGTGGGATGCTGTCTTTGGACCTTAAGAATAGGTCAAGTTGCCTCTTGAAGGACTCCTGAGAAGTCGCTTGGACTAGCTCGGCTGGTAGCGAATTCCAGCATTTGACAACTCTTAAGGAGTAGAAGTTGTGTCTACATTCCGTTCTGCTATGTTGTGTCTCCAGTTTCTGGGTGTTACCCCTTAGGTTGGTATTGGAATTAAGCTTAAGTGGGTGTTTGAGAGGATGACCAGAAGTGTTAAGGATACTATAAGCCGTCAGAAGGTCACCTCTAAGACGTCTATACTCTAATGGGTAAAGGTTGAGTGAATGGAGGCGCTCTTCATAAGGTTTAAATTTGAGTCCTCGAACTGATTTCGTGGCTCGCCGTTGGATACGCTCCATGGTCTCCCTATCCTTTTTGAATGAGGGAGGAAATACTATGTTTCCGTACTCTAAATGAGGACGGATAAAACTATTGAAGATTATATGGCCAAAAATGAGCTTCAATGTTACCAGTGCAAGGTTTGCTCGGAAGGCATTTTTGTCACAGTTAGCGTAAGACTTTAAATCATGGGACACCAGGAGTCCTAAATCTTTTTCGACTCGGGATACTACTAAAGAGGAGTTTCCTAAGTTGTAACTGTAGTTTGCGACGTATCGCAGATGAACTACTTTACACTTTGTAGTGTTGAAGGCAAGTCCGTTATCGTCTGCCCAACTTTGAAGTCGAGTCAGATCCTCTTGAAGTGCCTGTATATCGTCTTGGTTGCATATCTCTCTCCAAAGTTTCACGTCGTCGGCAAAAAGTAATGTCTGACGTTACCTTTCGAGGAAGGTCAAGGTAATGATATCGACCTTACCCTTGCGATCGAGGATGCTTGTCCATATGTCCACCGCAGTCAGCAGGTTGGTTATACAAGAGTAACCCTTCCTGAAACCATGCTGTTGGGGTGAGAAGAAATTTAAGGACAAAAGATAGTCATTTAAACCGTCGCATATCAGGGACTCCATGAGTTTTGAAGGTAATAACAGAAGAGCCACCGGCCGATAACTTGAAGGTTCATTGCGTCGACCACCTTTGAAAATTGGTGTGATGTGAGCCAACTTCCAGTTTTCCGGTAATTTGCCTCGGCTAAGCGAGTGTGAAAACATCACGCTAAGCGGCGTTGCCAGGATTGAGGCCGCCTCCCTCAGTATGGCAGGATGAACCATATCCGGGCCAGGAGAAGTGTCAAGTCTTAAGTGCTGCAGTTTCCGGAACACCAAGTCAGCGCTTAGGTCCACTTCAGAAAGTTCTGTGGAATTGCAGATGAAACTGTCGTCAATAAAGTTGATGTCAGCCGGTTGAAATGTTTGAGAGTAATGGGCCGCCAGAAGGTTAGCGGCGTCGCCATCGTTGTTGGTCGGGCCGTTAAGACCTAGCAGTTGAGAAACTCCTGTTTTGGCTTGACGAAGTGAGGCTGCATAACGGAATAGGCTTCTAGGGTTAGAGGCGAATTTGTCCATAAGCTTTGTTTGGTACTGAAGCCTGTCTTCTCTTATAGCCTTCGTGCATGTGTTCCTGATATGTTTATATTGCCTATACGCTCAGTCGTTCTCAGTTCGTTTGTATTCCGCCCAACAGTGCCTTTTGCGACTTAGCAGGCGAAGGGTATGGTTCTTGATTACTGTAGGTGGCTTGCAGCTTTTGAGAACCGTTTGAGGAACTGAATGGTTTGTAGCACATAAGAGCGTGTTAGTAAGAAGTCCCAATGACCGTCCACATCGAGTTGAGGGTGGACATCCCAAACCACCTGTTGTCGATAGTCATGTAGAGCTGGCACATTCAGCCGTTTAAAATTCGAATGCGAATTATTGGTGAGATAACTTAGCTTAGTTTTACTGACAAAACTGAAGGCTATGACTGCATGATCGCTCTTTCCCAGGGGAGCCAGGATTGAGAGATTGTCAACTAGGAATTCTTCGTTTGTGAATACACAGTCTAAGCGCGATGGTGTCTGACTGTTTCTCCAACGAGTTGCCGACCTCACATTTTCGTATAAGCCCAAGTCACCGATGAGGTTGAGGAACCGAGCTTCAATTGAGTTGTCGCCTCCAGCGTACGTGTGTTCCGCGAAGTTGACTCTAGGGAGATTAAAGTCCCCTAGAATCAGGATGTGTGGGAAACCGAGACGGGTAGAGCGGGATAGTCCTTCCAGCATAAGACTATCGTACTCGATGTCGGCAGTTGGCTTCCTGTAAATGACTCCGACTAGACACCTCGAAGTACTAGACAATCTTACAGAGCACCATATGGATTCTTCAAGATTGTTAAACTCGAGGTTGTGATTTTGGTGCACCTCCAAGCAAGAATTTATGTATATGGCTACTCCGCCCCCAATTCCTGTTTTTCTGTCGTTGCGGAACAAAGTCATCTCAGGTAGTGCTAACGTTTGGCCCGAGAACTGAGAAGATATCCAGGTTTCAGATATTCCTATCAGATGGGCCTTATTAGCGTTGCTAAGTTCACGTAATTTATCCAGTTTGTTTGCTAGACTCGCAGCGTTCATATATAAGCAGTTTATGCTTTCAATTTGGAACGCGTGAGCTTCATCCTGTTTTTCTGTATGAGCCTTATGTGAATGGACAGGTAGCCCACCTATATGAGGTTTGCCGAGGTGGTAGGCCCTGTCCTTTACACGTTTTTTTCATTTAGACAGTTCACAAGTGGAATGGTCAGCTCCAACTTGCCTTTGTGCTTGGTCCTAGCTTCATATGGCCTATCCGGGTGCATGTGGATTCCAGGTGGCAATCGACGTCTGTTGGCACGAAATGCTTCCAGAACTGCAGCCGCCATGTGGGAAGATGGGAAGGTTATCTTCATTAGACGGGGTCTTGAATCACCATCCTTCTTGGCTAGTCTCGTCACATGCTGAGTCAGTATGTGTTTGAGCCTCAAGGACTGTTTGATGAATTTCCATTCCATGATGTCAGAATTTGATTGAGTAGGGTCTGCATTTTCCGGTAAACCTTGTAAAATTATGTTTCTTCCGCGGAAAAACTTCCTGCGAGATTCTTTAGGGGTGTTCCGTATGATATTGCGCTCAGAGTACGGTATGTCGGGCAATATTCTTACGTTAACATCGGATTTCAGCAAGTGACTTGCTAGCAAGACGTCCTCTACGTCGGTAGCATTCTTAAGTGTTACTCAGAGAAGCCTGGGGTGATTTAGATACTTAAAATCCTTTCCTCGAGTGAGCCAGGTGACTGTCAAAGGCTCTATTCTAGGAAGTTCGAGCTTCTTGTTCAATTCACCCCACAGCATCCTGTCATTTTTGTCCTGCAGACTGAGAGGAAGGTCAGGGTTGTCAACGAGGTTCATGATAATGAGAGAATCGTCACGAACTGTTGTTAATTTAACAGGTTTTACGATGGGTTCAGGTTTAATAACTTGTTGGTTGGAGGTCAGTGCACGTTTTTGAGTCTTGGGCTCTTTATTGACCGGACGAACAGTCCTGGGGGTAGACTGTGCGACCAAATCACCAGTTGTTTTCCGTACATCAACACTTGGGTTGCTCGGCTTAGGCGGTGACGCCTGGTTCTTATTGGCTCTCTTAACGTGGGTCGAATCACCCGCAGGGTTTTTGCGAACCACTGTTGTGTTCAGGGACCCTGAGCTGGGAGACCCGAGTTTGCTTAGGGAGTCTAATACCGTCGACGTAATGATGGTGCTGAGCCTCGACACGTCATCATTAGTGTTGATGGATGCTCCATCGATGGTATACCTGTCGACATCCCTATTTTTTTTATCCGTCACACGCTCTTGCTTGTCTACCGGTTTTTTTACTATCGCTATCCAAGTTAACGGACAATTTGTTCCGCAGACCTGTTAGTCAGACAATGATGTTACTCAGCAAGACTACAGCCTCCGTGCCGCACGTGACACATACCCACTTTCGGTCTGACTTGCTGAGTCTGCTGTAAGCAGATGCTGTCAGATCTGTGCATGCTTCGTGGAACCAACCTTTGCGGTTGTCACACTGCATGCCAGTTGTAACAGCCAAACGGCATCCCGGACTTCTGCATGAATTTCTCATGACTATGTTGAAGCAAACTATGTTATAGATGCTTGCAAAAGCCTAAGACCTTTAAAAAACACTAAAAGGCACACCGAAAACGAACAAAAATGGATAAAACGAGTGATATAAACTAAAACTAGTCTATACGTGAAAAACAAAAAAACCCGAGTAGTAAGCTGAGGCAAAACCACAGGTAACTATTGAATATGGTGAAACTCAAAAAAAGTAATCTACCGAGCGTATAGCTCGGGATAGATTCTTTAGAACTGAAATGGTACTTTTGTTGCGTAAGAACACAGCAAAAGTTTGATAAATCCAAATCACGTTAGGACTAAACTTCCCGTTCGAAAATCGCGCGGTTTCAAATCACTGCTTTTTTGAAACCATATGCCTTCAATAAGGATGCCACTGTAGAGTGTACGAAGTTGCTGGATGAAAAAGAACGAATGAAGAGAAAATGCTCAGAAAGACATGGTTCCGCAAAAATACTGACAAATGAAGAAGTTGATGTGCTACAAAGTCTACACAAGGTCAGGTACGGAAAACGGCCTTGAACGAAGTAGAAACCGCTTAACGAGTGCACGTATCTACAATCAGTGGGTCACCGGTGACTTCAGGTAGGGACCTAGGTGTATTTTGCGATACAAAACAAAATGTTCGTAAATTATAATCAAACACTGACCTGAGTCCCTAAGAATTAGTTAAGTTTCCCACACAATTAGATTATCCTGGAGCAGCAATTTGCATTTAGAGGAGGGAGAAGCGCATCGCAAACGTTCTGGCATTGTTGCCTAGTGCTACCAAAGGATTCTGCATTTTATCAGCATCTTCACCAAACAGAACTACGTCATCTGTGTATTCTAAATCGATAAGTGGACCTCCTACTATAGTAGGAGATCAATTCCTGAAAATTCAGTCGACGAGCAAGTTATTTCCATCAGTATGTCTATGATGAAGTTGAAAAAAATTAGGGATAGTGGACAGCCTTGTGAGATACCACTTGATGTTGCAAAATCAGATGACAGTTCGTCATAAGTTCTGACTCGAGTGGTGGTGTTCGACTAAAGAACCTTCACAAGGTCTACGTACTTCTTAGGTACACCTTTAAATGACAGACACTGCCACAGAACCTCTCGGTCAACATAGTCAAATGTTGCTTTTAAGTCAAGAAAAACTACCATTGTCGGATGCTGATACGTATGTCTGTGTTTCAAAACCTGATGAATGGTGATTATGTGGTCGATTACACAAATTCTAATCTCCTGAATTCTTCATGTCCCTTTTTTCCTCTTTCCAAATTTATTTCTCTGGATTGTACTCTTTAAATAACATCTCCTAACCCTAATCTTCCTGATTACTGCTTATACTCTTATTACCTCTACCACTACGGGATTTGAATCGACAACTACATCTCTGTGCTAAGGTGGTGTGGCAACTCGAACTGATGTACGTACGTACGAAGTTCTACGTTGTTACTGACTGACTGACTGGTGTGGTCGATTCAACTACGACCAGGGCGCCTATTTTTCCACTGCCGTTTGTATATCTTTCCGAGCAACATCTGGGTCAGCCTCGTTTTCAGAATGGCCTAAGTGTAGCCTCCGTTGTTCATGGAATCTACTTTTGGCTTTCTCGCTACTGAGTTTAACTCGAATGGTCTTAATGTGGTTTTCCTTCATCCACTGAAGCACAAACATATGCGTGCTCGTATTAAAGCATAATCAGAGTCTGAATATGTGCTCCAAAACAAGCAGAATTCTCCTGTTGAGCCTCCAACGATGAGTGATGACTGTGAACGAAACCGTTCTTTCCTCTTATTTCCCTTGTCCCAATAACGAGGGTTTAAACACCGGTTTCGTAGATGAAGCTTCTTAATTTTCATCCAGTGTAGTCAATCCAATTACATTTGTTTTTCGAGTTTACATCAATAAAACATTAAAATATTTGAACTGAGTCTTTGTTATCAACACAAACTATTAAATTGTATTAAAATACCATGGATAGTGTTCACACGGAATAATTTACTGTAACCAAATTTCAACCTAATTGACACTGGTTTGGTTCTCATGAACTGTAATTTGAGATTGCATTTCCTCATTAATCATGTAAACGGATCATTCTAAATACATTTTCAAGGCTGTATGTACCATCATTTAAAGGATTTAAATATCATGTCCTTTTGTGATGTGATATCAAATAAGATATAATAATGCAGATTAATGTACTTTAAAGGTTAATGATAACTAATCGATGTCTGCAGAAAAGCTTTTAGTCATATGTGGATAAATTCGATTGTCCCACTTTTACTTAAAGCTTATGTTGATAATGTTGTCCAGGTGATTAATAAAAGCTTCACGATTAAAACATCCAGCTCAGAAAATTGAAGTCTGCCAAGAATGTTCGTTATGCTTAAGTTGGTTATATTAAGCGGCATTTCTATTTATAGTCTACTAAAGATGGGAAATAGTCTCCAATGATGTAGTAATATGAGTGGAAGTGATGTTTTTCGAAGTTGAGTACGAGTAATGAGCTGCAGGTTTAATCCATGCTTCATTTATGTTAATTTGGCTAACTGATAAGTTACACTATCAACACAAAACATAACTTCCAACTATTATTCAGATATATACTGTTACTGAATTAGTATAATTAAAAAGCAGGTAATTAATTGAATTGTTCTTACTCATTGGTTTTGTTGTGTATTCATAGAATATATATATATATATTTGGCGCACTCCTGTACCAATATATGTGTTCAAATAAGTATATATATATATATATATATATATATATATATATAGTTCAAACCCTAATCTTTCCTATTACTACTTATACTTTTACTACCTCTACCACCATGAGATTTCAATGAACAACTGCATCTCTGTGCCAATGTGGTATGGCAACTCGAACTGATGTACGTACATATGAAGTTCTACGTTGTTACTGACTGACTGAACAAGGTGGTCTGGGGCACTGTTAGAGGTATAAGGGTGGTTGTGACTTCTCGGCTGCTCACACCGTGGAAGAATATCTCTTAAGTGACCTGCAAAAGAAGCTGGATTAGTGGTTGTTCCAACGACTTGGGAACGTCGCTGCAGAGTCCAAATTACAAGTGCTTGAGGTTGGTCGCTCTCAGACATTTTATGTGAAGTTTTTGATGTGTTAGCTCCAAATAACAATAGGCCTTACTACCGAATATGGAAATCCGTGAGCTAAGGTTAGGTGTGACAGTTTAGGGTCATCCTTTTTCAACTTCTTCCATCTGTTATCACAAGGCAGCATTGCCGCAGGTACCGGTTATCCGGGGGAGACTCCTTGCTACTGTTGCACCCCTACACAGTCAGCAATACAACTTCTCCCTCGGACATTAAGTTGATGCTTTTAATCTTACCATTCTCCTACCGACTTGCCTGGCGTAGTGGGACCTAAAGGAGCATGTGTCTGAGCCAATATAGTTCTGTTGTGTCGTCACAATAGGCATTCTCAACCGCGGCGTCAGGGTAGCAGCTACGGTCGGGATAACATCTAGTTAGCTAGTTATGTTTTTCGTAATCACCTTGTTGTAATTATTGCACTCTGTGAAAGCATCATATTATAGTTAGAAGTAATTATATAGAATTCAAAATGCGCATGGTCAACTTCGTACTGATCGACAATATAATTATGTTCTTGACCACCTTAGCTTTATTCCTTTTATTTTCTTACTAGATGGGTTTAACTAAAAGAATTGTGTCTCCAGCCGATTTACGTCAGTGGACTTCTTCTATCGCTTGTAATGAGATTCTTAACCTAATAAATAGTGTCAATAGTAAATTGGTCTCTCGTCCAATCCAGGATAATTTGAAATCTTCTAAGGTGTTTTGGAAGTTACTATTATAAATGTAACTATTTCAGGCCATAATGTTGGTATGTGAAATGCTTGACAAGTTACAGCAAGCAATTAAAGATTACCCACCTGAAGAGCAGCCGCAGAGATTTGGAAATAAAGCATTTAGGCGATGGTTTACATGGTTACAAGAGAATGCCATTGAAATTGGTTCAACTATTTTTCATGATCATGGTACCACAGATTTCACTGATCCACCAAGTTAGTTCATTGTAAAACTAAAATATTAACTTTATTTGTTTTTGTATTTCTACATATTGATTTTTTATTCAATACCTTTCTTTGGGTATTGATGTGAGTTTTGGAAAATTCAATGGATATATTGTCGTTCCAGGCCTTTTATTGTCTTTTACTGACTGGTTAAAATTGAAAAATCTTCCACAGTATTCACTTCAAATGACAATTTTGTTGTTCTTAAAGTGATTATTTTAAAAGTTTGGTGTTGGTTCTAGTTGCACTGACTTTCTGTTTTCTATGTTTGTTAATTTTTGACATTATTACTATATTTTAAGCTTAAATCTGTATATCATTTTCTCCATTGTATACATAGATTTAACAAGTTGCAGGAATTTATGTTTTTCTCCGGAGATTTCGCTTCTTATTTTTAATTTTTTTCATATTCGTCTTTTTTAATACTATATTTTGAAAGACGGTATCCTTTGTAAGGCCTTACTTTTATTAGTACTTATGTCATTTTCTCAGTTTACAAAATTTCATGCTCATTCTTTTGTAAATTATCGATCCGAACTAATGATAGGGAGTGAAGTAGTTGAGCGTGTCGACCGCTTCACTTATCTAGGAAGTTTCATCAGCCCTTGTGGTCTGGTGTAGAACTGAAGTTCTACGTTGTCACTAACTGACTGACTGAAATTATCGGTGAAATTAATTTCATAGCAGGATATTAAAGCGTTAACCTACCTTATCCACTCGAGAAATTCAATATTGTAGCAAACTGTATATCTAATTCAAAACCGATGTAGTTTAGGAGACGTAAACTAGTCATTACTAGCTCTAATTCTTATAGTCACAATAACTTTCAACCATATTCGACACATGAAAAGATGTCACTTATAGAGTGGTAATTTTATCATGCAGAGTTGTTTTAATTTCTCACAGTGCTATTAAAGATACCAATATGCGAATTTATTAACTTCAGTCAGAAAATATATTTAATTAGATATTGGCTCAGTTTTATATTACATTGGTTCACTGAATGAACGTCCATGCGATTCACCAATTGTTTTAAGTTGCAAAATATTTTCCTGTTACTTTATCCATAATACTTCTTTAACTTAGGGTTATTTGTTTCTGGTCCCAAAATGTTATTTCTGTTGATATGCGTTTTTCACGGAATAGCTTAAACACGTAAATCCCAACCATTAAATTATAGGTTTAAATCTGGCTCTGTCAAGGGCTGACGAATGATATTTTGAGCTTTCACCTAACAAATGCAATTCAATGTTAAGTGAACGCAATTATAATTATGTACCAACTACTAAAAACCGTACTGTTGAAATAGAGCGAACATTTCACAGCATAATTATGACTAAAATGGCTTTGATACGTAAAAAATAGCTCCATATAACGGTTTAAAAAAGACCACCTCGAAAAATTATACCGTTCGCTTTAAATAATTGTACAACAGATACATGAAAGTCAAGTATAATTAAATTCTTCAAGTAAATATGCTTACTTTGTCACACATCTTTTGCCTTTGAATTCTACGTTCCATTATAGATCATAACTTTCTGGCAGAGCTGATACTGTTGAGATTAAATTTCTGGTTTCTACCCGATGGTTACTAATATTGCAATTTAGAAAGTACATTTTAATTTAACTGCAACTTGAATATCGTCTTATTTCAAGTAATAACTCCCGCCCTACAGCCCCTAATTCGGTTGACGTCAAGAACAGTCCGCTTTTCATCCCGATTATATCATACCACCGCACAATTTTAATTCTTTTTAGAGAATCGCCAGTTAATACCTTAATTTGATTGTGGAAGTTTCTATATAAGGGAGTTGTAAAACCTTGATTCCAAACTAGTGGTACATATGAGATCTAGGATTAAAAAGAATTAATAAATGACCACTGACTATCTTAAAAATCCATTTACTAATATGGGTTCACTGCTTTTTTTGGATTAAACCTAAAAGTCAGAGGCTTTGGGATGTGATCTATGCAAGCCACGCTTGGTTAGAATCTCTAATCAACATTCATGGAATTCATTTTTATTTTAACTTGTACTATGAGTACATTTATTCAAGGGATTTCTTTTCACGTTAAAACCTCAAAAACTGTACAATCTATCCTTTGTTTTGAATATTTTATTATTAGTTTTTATGTAAAAATTTAGACAATGTAATTTACTAACATGTATTACCTTTACATTTTAATTGTACCATTTTCATCCAGTGTTATACACCGAAGCAGTTGACGAAGTTTCTGGTTATCTAGTTGAATCATTTGGAAATTCAACACGTATCGATTACGGGACTGGTCATGAATTGGCTTTCTTAGCGTTTTTAACTTGTCTTTTCAAACTGAACATTCTAAAAACACAAACTGATTCTGGTGCATCAACTATAAATGATCTCCTAGCTGTTGGGCTTGTTGTAATGCCAAAGTATCTAGTATTAGTTCGTCTGTTACAAACAACATATCGTATGGAGCCAGCTGGCTCTCATGGTGTATGGTGTTTGGATGATTTTCAATTTGTACCTTTCATTTGGGGCAGTAGTCAATTGATTGGTAACTGGTTGCTACTTTTTTAATAAGCATAGTATCGTACAAATAATCTGGTCGTAAATTCTTGCTATTATAAAATTTGTATTGAATTGTTCACTTGAAAGGGTGATAAATTCTTAAAAGTACATTTTATTACTCTATTTAGGTCTGCATACCTCCTCTGGTAAACACAGGTATTAAACTATACAAAGATGGAGAAATAATACATATAACCCATTAACAAGCATATGTATATGTAGTCGCCTTTAAGTTAGACTTTGGTTTTGTGTGGATGTTTGTGTAATATATTGTATATTGTATAATATTTAGTAGCTAATTTATGAAGGGAAATTTCATCCACAAATTTAACTTGGTTTTTTTCCCAACTCATTCAAAACTTTCAGGCAGTCAGCACAATCCTACCGTGATAACAGATCGTGATGTTGTTGAATTGGAAAAAGATAAATACCTTTTATTTTCATGTATTTCTTATATTCATCATGTGAGTAGTTTTAATTACTTATTGTAAAGGGTCTGTATGATCATTTTTTTATGATTTCACTTGGCAACCAGCAAACAGTGTATAAAATCCCATATTCTATGTTTAAGACAGAAAATTTTTCCTGTGGAAAAATAAATTCATCCTTCCCAACCTTAGCTTCTACTTCAACAAGGCATTTGAACTTGTTAATCGTGAAGACTCAATCTAGCTACATTAGCTGGAACACATTTTCATTAATTTCTTGTCATACTACATTGAAAAAAGGCTGTAAGAAGACCAGAAACAGCAGATTTATAATTCAGTGGTAAAATTTACTACTGTTTATAGTGTGTAGTGACAGTGAGATATTTCTTACCATCCTCACTGTTGGTACTGCCTTCTCGCAGATAGAAGGGTAGATTAGGGATCAACTGCAACAATAGCACATCTCATCAGGTTAGCTTCAGACCTGGTCGTTCCTATATCGACCACATATTCACCATTCATCAGGTTTTAAAACACGGACATACGTATCAGCATCCGACAATGGTAGTTTTTCTTGACTTGAAAGCAACATTTGACTCTGTTGACCGAGATGTTCTGTGGCAGTGTCTGTCATTGAAAGGTGTACCTAAGAAGTACGTAGACCTTGTGAAGGCTCTTTAGTCGAACACCACCATTCGAGTCATAACTTATGGCGAACTGTCATTGTTTAATTCTTTATTTTGGTTGTATCCCCCATTGGTTTGATTTTTGTTCCTATGTTTGTTCATGATTTTTCTGATTGGTTGATAAATTTCATCGATTTCAGTGTGCTTGTTGATTGACCTAAGTGTCAAGCTTCTAAAAATCCTCTGGTGTTTTTGGAGCTGCCTCTATATAAAATTTCCATATTCGAATGTGTCCGCCGTTGTCCACGTGCATTGATGTAAGTGAGGACATATCATGGCATTTGACTGCTAATTGATGTTCATGCAGGCGAAGATGAAGAGGGCGTCCGCTTTGTCCGATTTAGTGTTTTTCGCAGTAGGCACAATTTTTTTTGTAGATGGGAGATACAACTAAAACAAAGAAGTTAACAATGACAGGTTTAAGGTCAACAATAACCAATCAACATTAAGGTATACAGGACAAGCTGTGAACCACATGTGAAGAAATCCGAACACTTCGCTTCTATTCGAACTTTGTGCTGATGATGTCGTTCAGAAGAGCGATGAAAGCTCCACGACCAAACCATCCAGCTCAGAGAACAAAACGCCATCAAAATCATCTGTCTGAGATACAAATCTTCTCCACCACATGGCCATGCCTTAGACAGATGTTCATTGGACCACTCTTTTATACACGACCTTCATTTTTCTAGTTTATTTCATATCCCTCAAGAAAATGTAATAGTAAAGGAGTGTTTCGTTGACACGCAAATCAGATCTAAGATAACTGCTCTTGGGCTTTAGCGCGAAATTAAGAACACAACGGATAGCTTATACCTTATCATGAATTTGTATTTTATGGTTCAACTTTAACGTAATGTTAGTGGGCCAGTGGTTTAATACTCCCCGTTTATTTTTTATGTAAAGCATGGCTTTTAAGCGTCACATTCAAGTCAGACATTTTATAGAAAGGCATCAATTTTGAAGTCATGGCTTGTTGATGTGAAACTTTTTGACAGTTACTCACCTCAGACAATGAACGAAGAGTTGCAAAAGTTCATGGATCGATCGAAGTCAAGTATTAACACCGTTGAATGCCGGCTCAGTGGTTTTGAGGTAAGGTGTTCGCGCGCGAGACCGAGGCTCCTGTGTTGAAGTCCCGTGTGCAGGATCATGGAAGCGCACTACTGGGGGGTCTCATACTATAACTGAACGTCTGTCCAGTGCTTCCAGGTTCTCAATAGTGGTCTAGCCTAGATCGACTCGCTGTGGAGGTGCATAATTTTCAGCTTTCATTCATAACATCATCGTAAAATTTCATGTGACACTGTGTTGTAATAGTCAGTCAGTCAGTCAGCTACAACGTAGGACCAGGCACATATGTGCATCGGTCCAGGTTGCCATACCTCATTAGCACAGCAAGATGAACAGCGGATTCATAGGAGTGGTTAGGTCAAAGGTTACAATAAGGATATAGTATAGGAAGAAAGAATTAGTTCGTAGACAGAAAGAATGAAGTGATTTTAGTCTCTTAGTTTAAAAGAAGACAGGGAGTGTATACACCGACGCACAGTTGCGTTCATTTTTTGTAATAACTCCAGTGCTGAATATAAGACTCTGAGATATGTTTTCTTATTGATGTGTGAGCTAGAATTATAATGATTGGTTGTTTGCTTAGTCAGACGTGTACATAATCTGATAGGCGTTAGATGCGTTATATGCTCTCCAGTCCTTATTATTATTGACCGACTGTTAATGGTTGTTGGATTGTGTCTGATTGTTATCGGTTTTGGTGTGGAAATATATTTACGTTCTAATCAGGCTAATCACGTGTTCTTGATCTGAGTTGTGTTAAAGTCCTATAGAATAAACACTGGGAGAGAATTTAGTGTAAATATTCGTTTAAGGTAAATTAACATCCCATACGTGTAAACGTGGAGAACCGAGCGTTATAACACTTAACTATTCCTTTTAAGTTTCTTTTTCCAATCATTTACATTTATTTTTGCTGATTTTCTCCTAATTGTGCTGATTTTAAGTGTGACATTTTAAGTGATAGAAACTAGTTGACAGGAAACCTTGGAACTAAGTTTTATTCTAGCTGATACTTATCAACATAGTGTACCAGTAATCTTGAGGAAAGTCAGTCAGTTAGCGACAACGTAGAACTTCGTACGTACGTATATCAGTTCGAGTCGCCATACCACATTATCACAGAGATGCAGTTGTCGATCCAAATCTCGTAGTGGTAGAGGTGGCAAGAGTATAAGCAGTAATCGGAAAGATTAGTGTTTGAAGATGTTATTCAAGGAGTATCATACAGTGAAATACATTTGGAAAGAGGAAAAAAGAAACATGAAGAATTCAGAAGATTAGAATTTGGGAGAACACAAAGAGTGTATGCACCTGCGCCATTGCAAACGCTTTTGAGTCATGTCATTCAGGGTCACTAACCATCGGTTGCTATCATCTCGCGGTCCCCAACCAGGTAGTCTACACCTACCAACATGACTCAGTCCACTTGTGAGTGACTTCATGGATTTTTGCCATGTTTTGGTCTGGCCACCCCTATCTTTCTTCCAACCTATTCCTATACCGTTGAACATCGCACGTCCGGGCAGTCGGTGGTGGTTGAGGAAATTAATGCTATGTGTGGTATTTGAACCCACATAATCCAGATTCGCAGTCTGATACTTTAACACTGAGCTATTGAGGCTGAAGAATGTCAGCTAACACAAAACTTGAATCCAGAGTTTCCTTCCGACTATCTCCAACCAACTAACATCTCAACATAATGCACACGACGTTGGGTCACTTAAATTAGTGGCTTCATTGCAATTTAGTTGGTAGAATCTGCTCAGCGGTAAAAGATTAGATTAATGTAACATTGTTCACTACACAGTAATGCGTCAATTGTGAGGTGTGGCAATTTTGTTTAATACGTAATTTTGTACATTTACGTAAAATATTTTGATTTATGTTTGCTCATATTTTATTAAATTGTTACACATTGAAGTGTACTTTCAAATATATTTGTTGGTGGTAGGTAGAGCTTATGATGACTTACTCTAGCAGTTTTTATTTATAATGTGGCATCAAAAGAGAATGTAAATTCATTCATCGTTAAAAGGACTCTATTTTGTTCACTGAAAACATGCTGGTAGGTGTAGACTACCTGGTTGGGGACCGCGAGATGATAGCAACCGATGGTCAGAGACCTGAATGAAATGACTCAAAATCGTTTACAATGGCGCAGGTGCATCCACTATTTGTGCCCCAAATGCCCTGGTATGGCCAAGAGTGGAGTGGGCCCGCCCCCCTCTCGAAATGCTCTCACATGGCCACGCGTATACAGCCTCTGTCAGGAAAGTCCTACTCATTACCTTCTCGTGGCACTACTGTTGTTTACGAAACTGAGAGGGCGAAGCGAATGTCCGGCGCTTTAACTGGATCCCAAACCAAATCAATGGTGCACATGATCTCCAGTATCCTGAGGGAACCAATGGCGTATGAACCAATCTTGGTCACTGGCTACCATGGGACTGCATCTCCTCACGATGCTCCACTGCCTTGTGGGTTAGACTTTTAGGTCAAAGGCTCGGGGTGTGGCCCCCTAAGAAAACCACCTGCGGCTTATGCCAATCTGGGCCATCTTTGGCGCCTTCGTGATGTTATTCTGTCTGTAAAAAGTAGGATCTTTAACGCGTCGGTGAGAGCAGTTCTGCTCTATGCTTGTGAAACCTGGCCTCTCCTAGTTGAGGACGTTAGACGACTCTCTGTGTTTGATCATCGTTGTCTCTGAAGGATTGCTGACATCCAGTGGTAACACCATGTCAGTATTGCAGAGGTTCGGTATCGTGTGTTCGGGTGCAGAGACGATAATCCAATTAGTGTCATCAGATTATGGCTCAGAATAGAAGCCAGTGGCGATCCTACTCTAACCTTCTCTTACTTTCTTCATAAAAAGTGGTTGTATCTTCCTAAACTGAAAGGATTTTTCCGATTGTACCTTTCCGTTTCCCCCACTATTATTATTATTATTATTATTATTATTATTATTATTATTATTATTATTATTACACTAATCTGGTCGTTATTGTTTCTCTGTTTTTTCTTTTACGCCCCGTACCTTTTTTTCTTCCCATTCTCATTGTTTTGTGTGGCGCATATATATTTGGTGCCCTCTTGTACCAATATTTACGTGTTCAAATAAATATTAATAAATAAATTCTAATCTTCTGAATTCTTCATGTTTCTTTTTTCCTCTTGAATAACATCTTCAAACACTAATCTTTCCGATTACTGCTTATACTCTTGCCACCTCTACCACTACGAGATTTGAATCGACAACTACATCTCTGTGATAATGTGGTATGGCGACTCGAACTGATGTACGTACGTACGAAGTTCTACGTTGTCACTAACTGACTGACTGAAAACTTCATCATGGAATACACTTTTATGTAAAATCCAATTTTTAAAAACTATGAAAATTCTCAAATATTAAATTGTTAAATTTCCCTTAATTTACTACTAGTGTAAAACTGGTCCATTTGAAGAACATTCACATACGTTGTATGGAATAAGTGAAGTACCGAAATGGGAAAAAGTTAATTCTGGTTTAATTAAAATGTATAAAGGTGAAGTAAGTTACTTTTATGCTCAGCTCCTCATTTCAGTTGATTTATACTGTTTGAATTGTAATCAATGCCTTTTATGGATACATTAGTTATATGTTAAAGCAATCATAGATTTTATCAGTTGGTATACAGGATTCAACATAACTTGCTGCATAAACGTCAATATTTTTGAAATGTTGATTACTGTGAACGATAAACGTGATTTGTCCTTTTCTTCTCAATACTGCCTAGCCAGACTTAAAGAACATTCTGATCAACTAAAAAACTACGTTTCAATAGTTGCATATATAAATATATATATATATATATATATATATATATATATATATATAACCTTTGGCTTTAAGGTAATAGTTCCACACATTGAGATGCACTCAAATCAATGATCAAATTATCTTGCTAGAACCCTCTGTGATCCCTGTGAATGTACTTCGAGAGAAGTGAGTACATTCTTATCATTATTTTCCTTGACCCAGTTAACGATGCATTGCTAAGTGCTAATCAGAATAGGTAGTCACGTTCGAAGGCCACTTTATTTACTTTGGTATGAGTAAACCGATAGTTGGGACTTCTTTTTGTTTCCAATTACTTAACAGTAATTAATTAATAACCGTATTCAGATTATATTAGGCTTGTTAAATACTTCCTCTATTCAATTCGTAGTTTCTAATATTTAACTTTTGTTTAGTTTAATCATATTTTCCCATAGCAATCAATCTCTCAACTTGATTCGCTTTTTTTTTAAAAATATTTTTTAGGTTTTAGAAAAATTTCCAGTCGTTCAACATTTTCTATTCGGTAGTTTATTATCATTTGATAGAGTACAAAATAGTAAACCTTTGGGTGGTAGTGGAATAAATATTGGTGGAGGTTTTAGTCAACGAGGATTTATTCCTTCAAATATTGATTCATTTGTAAAACCAATTTCATCGACAATCCAACAATCAAATCAACACGATGAAAAATTGTAGAGTTACGAATTAAAAGTCGAGGGATTATACAATAAATATTATTCTACATATAATGATAAACACGACTTTTTTTCTCTAATTAAGTCTCAATCTTTTTTTAATGGATTGCTTAGTAATTTTCGATTAATTTTATCTTGTTCACATAATTGATCATGTATATAGATGGCTGCAATGACTATAATTTCCAACGTTAAGTTTTTTGTTTTGTTCATAAATGGTTTCGTAATATAAGTTTGAAATTGGTCATATGCAACGTAGGATCTAACATGAATGTGTATCAGCTCGAACTGCTACACATCAAATGAGTACAAGTGAGAAAATTAACAAAATGAAAGGTAGATGAAGGTAAATAATAACAATATCCAAGTGATGTCATAGAATGGAAGTATAGAATAACACTAAGCTTATTTATTTTTTAAAAGAAGATAATTACTGAATACAACTGCGATCGATCTCAGGACACACCACTTTATGCCTTAAACTATAATTTGTGATATACTGTTAACTGTAAAATGTTCAGTAAAAACAACTGTCATAAAGTATTCCGAATAAATAAAGTAAGCATAATGTTAAAAGATGAATTGTCAATCAGTAACGGATAATTTCAATTTTTGAGACTATTAGTCAATTGAAACTAGACCATTGAAATCTGGCTCCACGAGATATTTCCTGGAGTTCTAATGAGAAGCAGTGACCTATGGAGTTCAACTGGGTCTGTTTTAAGACGGTAACTCACTGAAGACAATGGTGGACGTGTCGCTCAATTATGTGGATTAGTTGAAGTTAGACAACAACACCGTTGGATACCGGCTCAGTGGTCTTATTGGTAGGCGCTCGCACATGAGACTGATAGATCCTGGGTCTGAATCTCGCGAGGCGGAATCTTGGATGCTCACTACTGAGGGGTACCATACTAGGACGAAACGGCCGTCAAGTGCTTCCAGGTTTTCCATGGTAGTGTAGCTTTAATTGACTCATGATCTCAACCATTTAAATTACTATAATATTCACAAAAACACTTCTGATATGAAGTAACGAACAAATTGTATGAAATGTGTAAATGGTTAAGAACTAAAGTTTTGAATGGGTATTCTTTTTATAAATGCTTGAGGTGATAGTTCTAGAATATTAAGATGGTTTTATTACGCAATGTGATGAAATTTTTGGAAAAACAAGCTTATGAGTTTAACTTAATAAATTGTGATTACCATTAATTGAAGCAAAGCGAGGTCTAAATGTCATCAAAACAACGGAAGGGTAACTACTAACATTTCGGACACAAAAGTCAGGTATAAGCCCTTAAACTGTTATAGCTTCTAGGAGTTTTAGTGACGTAGAGTTGGGCTGTCTACTGATAACCTTGAACGAATTCATTTGAATAACGTTATACCTGGTAAATTAGTAGGCGGTGTGCTACTGAACTTTGTAAACAGTTTTCTCGGAATCATGTTTTTTTAAGTACGCTCACTAAAATGAAAAAACCGTTTTTCTGTCCTTCATGTTTCATTTAAACTAGTACGCAGTTGCAGGCAACATATGACGGATATTCATCTGATTTAGTTTGTTATTAAGCACAGGATTGTGTAGAGTGAGATCTACTCAGCAGAGAATGTGTTTCTCAAAACAGCTTTTAGTATTTTATGGACTTTCCCGATTACTTGGTCACCTTCGAATGACGGTCGGACAGAAACTTTCTTGTCTTCGGGATTTTTTTCTCCATGGATGTCTTCGGGTCTGTATTATTTCGTTTTACTTTGATGTTAGGCGCTACATTTCTTTATAATTGATTGAGGGTATCCATTTTCGCACAAATAATTGTTTGCGGAAACACTGGATCTTGTTTAGTGAACATGAATATTTGTCTAGAAAGCATTCATCTACTGACATTTATAATCAGTAGCTCAAGTTTTTCGTATCATTTTTCACTATTCATTTGGTGATGGCTAAGGATTCGTTATGCATGGAAATTTTCCATTGTATATGCCTTCCCAGTCAAGTTGAAGTTAAACTACAACAGATTATTAGAAAGAAATTCTCCAATACTATCCTTTGTTCAAGTTTACTACCTAACTTAGTTTCTGCAATATTTTGTCAAACTATGTTGACTGATCAGTGATTGATAGCCAGTCTCGGTTGCTGACCGATTGCAATCGTTCATATTTTAAGTGGTAAAACTCTATAGATCTGGTTTTATTAGTTCCGACAAAGAGTAAGAGTGTGGTAAAGGGTTATCTTTTTTTGTAGATTGACTACATGAATTAGAGACTAGGTGTATATGTAAATACAGCTAAATGTAACATAATTTCTCTAACTACTGCGAGCGTGTAAATGTACTTGTAAAACAATCGTCTGTCAATATCAAATATTCTAGTTTTTAGTGGTTTGGCTAAGATGTGCAGTTTACAATTGAGTTAACTGCTATGAATCCGGTGTTTGTCTTGCTGTGCTAATGTGGTGTGCCAACTTGGACCGATGCATGTATGTGCCTGGTCCTATGTTGTAACTGACTGACTATTTAATAATTTATATTTAATGCCTAGCGACAGTGTTGTCTGAGGTCTATCCGTGATATAAGCTACAAAAGATGATGATTGAGATCATGGATCGGTCCCGTTCGCGGACTCGTGGATCGCACTGCTGAGGAGTCCCACAATAGGACGAAACGTCCGTCCAGTGCTTCCAGGTTTACAATGGTGGTATAACATTAGTCGGTTTATGATCTCAATCAAAATCCTAATTATCCCCACAACCCCATACTGATAGAAAAGATGAGTTTCCATCCAATGTTTGGGAATAAAGCTTGCTTTATCGATCATGGAAAAAAAATGAACCAGTAATGTTCATAACTTTTTAATAGTTAACCATTTTGGAGAAAGAAAAGAAAATTGTTTGAATGATGAAATGATTTATGGAACTTTTATTTATCTCTATTAGAAAAGGGTTGAATAAGGTAATTATAACGATCAAATTAAACATTTATAGCAGATTAAAGATATATAGACCACTGGTTATGTAATTATATCATATCTAATCAAAGAATTAGTAAACTATTTCGATAACAAATCCATTTAATAATAATTACGCAACAATTAACCAATGTATTTTAGAAACATTTTGTAAAGAACTTCTGTTATTTCCCAATCTGTAGTGTTGTATGTCAATAATAATGGTAAAAAGAGTCAATGTACAAAGTCATTTTACTTGAATAATTGAATGAAAATCTTCACTTTGTTAATATTCGTAATTTTTAGACTATCAAAATAATTCATATCAGTAGGGTTTTGTGGATATTATGGTAAGTTCAATAGTTGAAATCATGAGTCAGTTGAAGCTAGACCACCATGGAAAACCTGGAAGCACTGAATGGCCGTTTCGTCGTATTGTGGGACTCATGATCTCAATCATTGAAATTACCATAATATTCACAAAACCCCTTCTGATATTGATCAACATATGCTCACTAGTGACTGGCTTCAAAAGCTATTTCCTAGAGTTTTAGTGAGAAACAGTGGTCAGTGGAGTTCAACCAGGTCTGTTGTGAGATAGGAACTCACTGAAGACAATGGTGGATGTGTCGCTAAATTTTGTGAATTAATTGAAGTTAGACATTAACACTGTTGGATGCCGGCTCAGGTGGGCGGGATAATGGATGCGCACTGCTGAGTAGTCCTATACTAGGATGAAACGGCCATCTAGTGCTTCCAGGTTTCTCATGGTGGTAGTCTAGCTTCAATAGACTCATGATTTCAACCACTGAAATCATCAAAATAATTCCTCATCAAGTTGAATTATTTTACTGCTGGATACAAACCAACAGACTGTAGTATCAGTTACTATTTTAAGCCCACGTTGCTTATTCTAGCTTTCCGTTAGACCAATTTGTCCATCTTTCTTGAGTCATGTTTTGACGTTGTTCATTATTCACTTATCAACCTTGACTGTTTTTATATGGGCATATATGTATGTACACTTCTTATCCTATTCGTTATGTCTGTAACTTATTTTTATCTGGCTATAAATATTGATCAACGCGTGATTAAATGAAGTTGGCTCACATGCCTTCTCCACTGCGTGACATTTCACTTAGCTCTCTTCTATTCGTTTCGTCCCTCTGATTGCCTGTTCAAATCAATGATTGTACAAAATATACGGATTTTCGTATTTGACTTATTTAATTCCGTTATTCATCAACGCGGATTAATTCGATAACTATTCACGAGAATAGTCAGGCTGTATATTTCAACAGCAATCATTCAATAGCGATCAACATTATGATCTAATTGAATTCAGATCCCGGAGCCACAAAAAGCCCATCCAGATGACTAAATCAAATAAAGAATAACGGCTATTTAAAGTTCACTTTAGAAAACTTTTTTTCTAAAGAAAACTGTATTAGAAATTTCACAGGTTGAAATCATGAGTCGATTGAAGCTAAACCACCATTGAAAACCTGGAAGCACTGGACGGCCGTTTCGTCTTAGTACGGGACTCCTCAGCAGTGCGTATCCACGATCCCGCACCACGCGGGATTCGAACCCAGGACCTACTGGCTTCGCGCGCGAGCACTTAACCGCCAGATCACTCAGCCGGCATCCGACGGTGTTAATGTCTAACTTCAACTGCGCCACCGTACACCTGTATTATTTTTCATGAAAATAAGTAATCAATATGATGATCACATTTGAAAGGTGCATTCTAAATTGAATTGGCTTGTGATTGAGATCATGAAGTGATTGAATTGGTTTCACTCATTACTGGATATGGATCGATCAAAGACATTAAAAATGTTTTTAATTGTTTCACAAATATGAAAATTCATTTAAAACAAATAAAATAATTAGATCACTTTGATATTGTCCTTAATCACGTTCAATTCTACATAAAGTTCAATGGAATTTATAATGTTTTACGGTTATTTTCATATTTTAACAGTTATGAGAAAGAAATTTATGAGATTAGCTGTTACCATGATCCCCCCTCCAGCCAAACATATTGGTGAAGCTTAGTAGGTCCTACTGGAAAGAAACATGCCACATTGAAGCACGTCACAACTACCGGGGTTAGAATAGCTGTTTTTGCAATCGGTTGGAGTTTGCCCCGTAGGGAGAAACTCCATACATTCCGTGCATCGATTCTGTGAATTTTTTGTCGTTTTTTTGATCCAGGAGTAATTGTGCTATGATTCTATGTGGGT